TATGTGTTAGCCCTGCGATGGATTGGCGACATGTCCAGGGTGTACCCCGCCTTCGCCCGATTGCCGGCCGGGATTGGCTCCGGCCCCCCCCGTGGCCCCGCAAGGGAAAAAGCGGTAGAAAATGAATGAATGAATATTTAGTGTGTTTGCTTCTCTGTTGTATACAGTATTTTGTGTTCTCTGTTTCCTTCACCTGTACAGCACTTTATAACATTTGTCATGTAAAGTGTTTAAACAATAAAGTTTACTTATGTGTTTGCTAAAGGTGATGGAAGAGGAGAAACCATGGGCTCTGATCTCAGAGGTGGACGGGTGGGGTTACCCTGAAGAAGTCACTGACATAATGAACCAACACTTCCAAATCATCTGCTTCAGAGAATTTCTAAAAAGCCCTCTGCTGCATGGACCTAAAATCCAGGTCATGTTTGTGTGGAACGGCTTTCCTGCAGTTGAGCCTTCACTGCTTAGTTCACTCCCATCGCTGAAGGTGGTCGCCAACGGGGGAGTGGGCATCGACCACCTGGATGTGCGGTACATCACCAGTCTCGGTGTGAAGGTGACCAATACACCCAGTGTGGTGAGCGATGCCACTGCGGATATCGCTATGGGTCTCCTTCTGGCATCAGCACGGAGGATTGTTGAGGGTGAGGCCAAAGGTTAACTCAGTCCTGATCGAATATGAAACGGTTTTAGTGTAATTCCAAAACCAAAATCTACAGATTTATACATGAGTGTGTCAAATAACATTATGTTTTTGTAAAATATTTGTTACAGAAGAGTCCGATGCTTTTGGACTCCTTCATTTGGTAAAAATCTTCAGTTTGTCTGTGGAAAATTAGCAGATGGTTTCTTAAAATGAGAAAGATGTGGAGCATGTACTACCACAAGTACAGACTTTATCACTGCTTAATCAGATTAAGCAGTTCAAACATATAAAGTTTTATGAAGAGATTCATTTGCAGTTAAATAACAGGCTTTTATAGAAATGTTAATAATTAAAGTGTTTCGGTAATTCTCTTCTTAGGTCACCAAACAGCTGTAAACCCACAAACCACCTCTCCACTACACCACCTGATGGGAGTTGAAGTGACAGGGTCGACTCTGGGGATCGTTGGAATGGGGCACATCGGATCCAAAATCGCTCAGAGAAGTAAAGGATTTGATATGAAGATCTTATATCACAACAGGAACAGAAGGTAAAGCCTGCTAATGCACAACTATTGATGATGTGTGTTGTTGCATGGAGCCCGTGTTATTGATCACCATCTTTCCTCTGTACTGTTAAGGAGTGTTAAGGATGAGCAGGCAGTGGGAGCGAGTTACTGTGAGAAGGTGGATGACTTATTGAAAGAGTCAGATTTTGTCATGTTGGCTGTCAACCTTACCCCTGAAACCACAGGCCTGATCAGCCACAGAGAGCTGTCCCTCATGAAACCCACTGCAACACTGGTCAACATCAGCAGAGGTGGGGATAATGTTTCCTCAACTAAAGACGCCACAGTTAAGGCCATTCTAAAACAGTGGTCTTTAGTCTAATGTTACTCATTTCATGTCTCAGGTCAGGTTGTGGACAACGATGCTTTAGTTAAAGCTCTCCAGTCTGGAACGATTCGAGCAGCTGCTTTGGATGTGACGTATCCTGAACCCTTACCAAGGTCTCTTCTCTCTGAAGAAACCCCTACTGTTCAATCAGAATCATGCAGAGCAGAATATCAGAATATCAAGTTACAGCCTTATGCATCTCTACAGGGCCTTTCAGCCTGTTTTTAGCTCATTGTTGTGTTTTTGTTTGCAGCAGACAGTAAAAGAAATCAAGTAAACCAGCTCTGTGCTTCCACTGTACTCAGCATCAAACAGTAAACAAAGTTAACAAGCTATCAAGCAGATATTTTTCTCTAAAGTGAGTACAAACCAGAGCAAAATGGAGACTGTCGTGCAGAACACAGCTTAAAATGAATGATTTTACTTTAAAGGCAGTGCAAATACAGTAGCTAGTGATTTATTTTAATGGATAACAAGCCAAAGAGCCACTAATTAATTTACAGTAAACAGAATCAGAACATTTAATGACAGTTAAACTATTTTTCCCTCACTCTCCTCTGCTTCACCTTGTGCAGGGGTCATCCTCTCCTCGGCCTTCCCAACGTGTTGATCACTCCCCATGTTGGCACCAACACAGTAGCCACCATAAGAAGGATGGTACAGAGGATGGTAGAAAATGCTCTGGCTGCAGTAAGAGGTCAGCCTGTTCCCAATGAGGTCAAGTCATAATGACTTAACTGGCAGCACATAAATTAACAGGTCTTAATCTATGATGGCTAAATGGAAATACAAGTATACACTGTGGTGGTAAAACAAATGACAAATCGGGGGCCTAATGTTAAAGACATTTAATAACAATGTTTTTATAATTAAGGAAAAAAATTACCAGAAAAAGTTAACATTCAAGAAATGATTATATTAGTGATGCATGTTATTTGTTTATAATAAAGAAATACACTACCAGATTTTTGAAGGCGTTTGGGACTTTGTATACAGGTCAGTAATGTTACACATGGCCAAAGTGGAATAACAGCCAGCAGCAGCCTAATTCATTGCAGTAAATCCAACGTAATGCATTACTACTATGACTTTACCATTTAAGCTAGAGAGGTTTTAGTTATGCAGTATACTGAATGTTATGTTTGTTCTCATAAACGCAAAATTAACCTACTGGGTTTTTGAAGGGAGTCTGGTCACTTTCTATCAGAAAAAGAAGTGAGTTTATCAAGTGAAACAATGTGCACCAGCCTTGGTGCTGAAGAGAAGAACCCTGAACAACACTGACCTCAACATCTAACCCTGTCCATCTTCCACCAATAACAAATAATGTGCAGAAACATGCTTCAGTTTCACATTTGTAGTTTTCACTACACATTTATTTCGGTTACAATTTTTATGATTTAAGATTTTACACACAACATGTGCTTAATATCTGATGCTTCATTAATATCAAGTGTGATTTTTATGTCTTATTTAATCCAATCATCCCACCCACAGAAAGTAAAAGTAAAATAAAAATCTTATGAAATCGGATGCAAAGATTGCTAGAATAAATCGTCTAATAAATCATCTAATTGTTGAAACAAGGATCTGCTGGGATATCTACATATAAGACTCTTCTATGGCAAATAGATGAAGAACGTGAGTTGTAGATCTCCAATACGTCTTAAATCTTTGCGGAGTTGACGGTCAACCGTTGATATCCCTGATTATAATAATAAGCAGGTCCTTAAAACACGCGATCTAAAATATAGCCTATGGGAGACACACATACCGAAAAACACCGACTGTGACCGTCTATGTAGATGTTTACTAAATATTTCCCTGAAAATAAAACTTTTTTTATACATTTAAATCAGGCAGTTACAGCGGATACTAAAGCCGTTCAGTCATCAACAATCGACGCCGAGTGAATGATAAGAAAGTCCAGGGCACAAGATATGAAAAAGTGAAAGCTACAGGGAGAATATAGTTTTGGTTCATGTTAAAGTATTTAACTCTCTTACTCAGAACCGTTTGTGTGGCTGCTAGCTAAACAGAATCATGTTTATCGCTTCAGGAAAGTCGCCCCCGTGCTTTAAAGATTTCACCCTTGTCATGGTGAGTGACACATTTGGAGTTCGTGGTTTCACTGAGACGGAGGCGAATACTCTTATTTTCTGTTTGCCTTAATGTGCATTTTAGCACTGAGTCAGTGCTTCAGCCCAACAGATTAATGTTAAACTCCAGGTGTTACTGAAAGAATGTCCTGTGAAGTGCTGGATTAGAACCAGTTTGTTAAACCCAGATCCGTCTGAAACTTTACTTTTATATTTAACTGAGGTAGTATCTTTAATGGTTTTATTTATATAGGGTTGCAATTAATGTTTACTTTTATTATGGATTTATCTACAGATTTTCTAGGCTATTGTTAATCGTTTGGTGTGTATAGCATCAGTAAATAGTGACAAATTCCCAGAACCCAAGGTAACATCTTGCTGTCCATAATACACGAATGGTCTGTTAGTAATAAAAATAAAGAAGTGCAGCAGATCTTCACATATGAGAAGCTGGAGCAGTCCGGTGTTCTGCATGCTAAAAACATTTGGGCTAATAGTAAGGTATCAGAATAGCTGCTGATTGCTCTTTATTGTTGTTTATCCTCCCTCCAGCCAGCAGTGGCAGTTGGTAATGTGGGCCAGCTGGCGGCGGACCTCATTGTGTCCACTCTGAACATGAGCAGAGTTGGGTACATGCACACAGACTGTCTCATCCCCATGGCTGGGAACAACCCGTATGCCACCTGCAAAGAAGATGCTGAGGAGGAGTTGCACACACCTGCAGAAGGTACCATCTGATCACTGCTGACTTCCAGCTGAGGGGCCTAAACAGGCAATGAGGTTATGCAGAAAGAGTTTGGTTTGGTAACTTGAACATGTAGAAAAAAAAACACTAATCTATGCTGAATGTCTGATAAACTGACAATTCAACAAAAAGAAAAGCTGAATCCTTTAATTATCTGTCAATTCTATTTCTCATTCATAGTCTATGCAGCACCAGAGCTGAAGTTGGCAGTTCTTCAGATCAGAGCACCAATTATTCAGGTAAAACCAGTTTTATCTTATTTTTATGCTCCAACATGTTTCAGGAGGAAAAAAGAAACATGAAGAATACTACTTGTTTTATTAATCAACTACATTTTTAAGTGTATAATCTATCTTTTCTTGGCTGAGGTATGTTTTCAGAGTATGTTTATTTTCCATGATGATGTACATACAGTAAATGTTTGGACACACTTTCTCATTCAGTTCAGTGGGAAAGCTTTGCCCAGTAGTGTATACATACTGTTTGGCTTTAATCTTTGCTTTAATTGCAGTCAAAGTCCAAAAGGTTTCGTCAGTTGATCCTGACTTGGATCAAAGCCAGCGGCTTCTTCAGGACTGTGGTGCTGTCCCGCAGCCACGCCTACCAGAGGGATGACCAACAGCTGCAAGGGTACATAACGCTCTACTTGGCATCATCACTGCATTTTGTTTATACTTACAATAACCTCTAATAAACACATGTCCACTTCAGCCCTCCTTTGAGGTACCTGGTCACCCCGTCCCTGCTGAAGGTGAGCGCAGATGCTCTAAAGGAACTGGGCTGGAGGGAGATGGAGCGAGTGGCAGCCTATCCAGGACTGATAGACGCCAATGCAGAGCCATGCCTCTGCATCCCTGGGGGAGGCATCACTAAAGGACTCTTCACAGACAGGTAGAGACATCTTTAAGAAGTAGAAGAGTTTTAAGTGCCCTCTGTGCAACATGAATCATGGTTCTGTATCATTAACAGACTACAGCAACAAACTCTGCATGTTGAGCTGGTTGTGTAGCATTCTGAGATATTCCCCTTATTAAATGCACTTGTGGTGTAGTGATGCATCAGTAGTCTAACAAGCAACATGTGATAACTGTCAACCACACTCACCTTTTACTATCCTGAAATGTCTGATTACTTTTACCTCATATATTGTTACGTTACCCTGTGTGTTGTCTACATGTCTACTCAACAGAATAACCTGCTTTCTTCACTATGATAATACGGTTATTTTTTATTAAGCACTCTGAAATAGATGAGATATAGGTTTTGATCAGGGCCTTTTTTTGTATGTGTGCTGGATATTTAGTTGTGCAGAGGATCTTCCGCTAGCTGTCCTGCTGCTCTTCTGTTCGGAAGGCAACAACATCCCAGATGCCTTCACTCTCGTCAACCACCTCAACGACTGGCTCCATCTGCTGGACACTCCTGTAAGTGACAAACCTGTGCAAACCAGACATCCTCTACTGCTGTGCAGTTTTGTTGTTGTTCTAATAGTACAGGATAAAGATGAACTTGCAGAGACTTGAGGTATTCAATCATGGCGATGTCACAGTTGGTGTGATGCAGCAACGCTCTCTGTGTTACTGCTCACAATCTCAACTTTAAGGTGATAATCTAATCAGCCTTTTTTTTTTTACTTCCTGTTTCAGAGCCAAGCGCCCAACAGCTGGAAGACCCCAACTTCCTGGAATCTTCTTTTTGGCAGCGGCATCCCTCCTGCACTGTTCTGATACACACGCATGTAGTTTTTGCTATTTTATTTTGTGGAGAATTCAACAGAGTCAAAGCTCTGAACCGTCACATATGTTTATCGACACCATATGATGCTCTCTTGGAAATGTATCAGTTTCCTTTTATTTCAATATTAATCTGTAAATATTGTCATGTAGAGGACTTGGCCTACAGTACATGACTGGAATACTGCTTCCTAGTACTGAACGGCTTGAATGCTTTATCCAATAAAAGGTGGTTACAAGAATCCAGTGTGAATTTATCGAAGCTGATAAGGACTTTGATTGTGTTAGTCTCACTAGGTGGCTGCCTCCGCCCACTTCACTGAAAGCACTTGGCCATGTGCCAGATGGTATTCCTGGTAGTGCTGCCTCTGTAACCTGATTCCCGTCCACAACACGTTGTAGTTGTGACAACACATTGACCTTGTAGCGCCGCTTTGCCAGGTTTGTGGTTTGCCTTTGTCTGCATCGTTTTGGGTGGTTTCTGCGCAGACTGGCTAGTGGGAAAGGAATGTCCTGACGTTTTTTATGGGAAAACAGATGAACCATAAAGTTTTGCTCTGGAAAGGGGATATCCATCATTAGAGAAATACTACTGGCCCCAAAAGTATTTATTCAGAACATTACTTGATAATAAACAATGATCAAATCTGTACTTTAAAAACAAATAGTTCAGCATTGTGGGAAATAAGCTTGTTGTTGGTGGAGATGAGATCAACAGCACTAATAGTAGCTTTCTTGTAACAGATAGTGCTTTCATTTTTACTTATCGTTTCTCTTAATTAAAAAAATATAGTGTCAGTTCCTGGAAGTAACCAGGCTGCCCTGGTTATACCTGATCCTGCCTGATTTCAGAAACTATGCAGGGTTGAGCCTAGTTCAATGAGTGCATTTCAAGTACTGGTTCCAAGCCTGGATAAAACAGGAGAGCTGTGTCACGAAGGGCATCCAGAGCAAAACCGCTGCCAAACTGGGAGAAACAACAACATCGCAGTAATTCCTAGGGGTCAGAACTCCAGCCTTTTGATTTTCTACAGTAGGAAAAAAAAAAAAAACCCAGTCGACTGTTAGATTACCTTGGCATAAATGTGGACAGGAAAATGATCGACTGAGGTGCTGTGTATGATGATATAAGCCATGGATTTGTGGTAAAGTAACAAGAAAATACAGGTTGTTATACAAACTAAATGATGCCAGTTTTATTTTGTACATGACACTCTAGAAGAGAGAAAAGCTTAAGACAAATTCAGTTCAAAAGGAGAACAAGTCATCAGTTGGATTTCTACTGTATTCAGATCTGTAACATTGTCTATTTGGGTTTTATTTTCCCTTTACAAACAAAAATATGTCTTTTTACACATCTTTTTTTAAAAAGAACACTGTACATCATGGAAACATCACATGCCACTGAATTTCTCCTGCGGGATGAGGCCGTGCTTCTCACTTTACCAACACCCCCCATCCCTGTAAAAAAAAAACTTCAAGTAATCTTTTATAAAAAATAGAACAATTTTATATTTGCATCTGAAAAGGGTTTTATAAAAATACATACATGAACACCATTAAAAATTGGCAATGCATAGCCCCTATTTTGAGTCTTACTTTTATAAAACACAAAGAAGTATGATAGAACGGCAAAGCTGCAAATAATTATATTAAAGCAAAACTTGGATTTTCTGACTCAGGAAGCGAAACAGGACGTACTTGAGATGTGACCAGCAGGTAAAGCGCTGGTGAATTTGTCTTTTTAAATGTGCTCTCTTCGAAAAAAAATGTCAGTGTCTGCTGTAAACAGTTTAGAGAGGAAGAGGAGCTACGGGGCAGCTGTGAGGTGAGGGCCTGCAGATGGTGTGTGTGAGGCATGGCGCTAACAGGAGGAAGAAGAGGGAGGTGAGCAGGGACTGAATAATGCTGCTAGGCTAGGACTAAACAAGAAATACAGGAGCCAGTTGGCTGTTGAGGTGAATATGACAGCTTGGGAGAGAGCTGGAGTTCCCTGCCAATGTTGGCTTTACTGCTGGAGCCGTGGCCGCAAGCGGAGGTGGTTAGCAGTCACTGGTTTTCACCCTGTCAACAAGACACAAAATATTTCAAGAGGCTGAACTCAAAAAAACAATTTTCTAACAGTGTCAGTGAAGCTTCAGAGCAATCAAAACAACTTGTGCCACAAAATCAAGTTAGTGTCTTCAGTCTGGTCAAGTTTGCAAGATCAAACTTTAGCATAGAGCGCTAGCAGGAGCTGTGGCAAGAGCCAGTGCCTTGGATCACTTCGCTCATTACTGGTATTAGATGATCAAAGCTCAAAAGCAGCAATCAGGTTTAATAAGCAACATGTCACACTGTGTTTAAGTCAACTTCCATCTAATAATTGCTGAGCATCAGCACACATTATTAGATTTGATTATCTGTGAGCTAAATTAAGACTCACCCCCATATGATGTAGAAGATTAAGAACTATTAGTCCATTAATTAGTTGATGAGAAAATGAATGAGCAACAATTTTGAACCCTGATTAATTTTCAGGTCAGTTTTCAAGCAAGAATATTCAATACTCTCTGATTAATTTATGGTTTATGGGGGGGGATATTAAACATTATCACTCTGAATAAAATGGCAGTATGTTGGTGCAGCGGTTAGCACTGTTGCCTCACAGCAAGAAGGTTCTGGATTCGAGTGTGTGGTTGTCTGTCTCTAAGTGGCAGCCCTGTGATAGACTGGCGACCTGTCCACAGTCTACCCACTTCTCGCCCAGTGTCAGCTGGGATTGGCTCCAGCGCCGGCATGACCCTCTTCAGGACATGCGGTATAGATAAAGGATGGACTAAGTAGATAAACTGCACCAATGGACAACAAGGAATTCTGATTGTTCCCTGGGTTCTTAAGCCAATCAGCAGAGATCAAGATCCCAGATCAGGATCCACCCACAAATGCTAAGGTCCTGAAGACATGTAAAAGACATCAGGACACAACTCTGACACTTAGAAGAACTAACAAGCAACAAACGTTAAAGAGCCCCAACTCATGTGGTGTAATGGACCGACAGCCTCAGCCTGGACAAGAACCTGCTCTTCACTGCTACAGTACTTGAGTAAGGGACCTACAGTGATAGCACATTTGTGCCCTAGCCATTTTACTTGCCAACAACATAGCAGTACTTTTTGTGCCAGTCAGTGGTTGCTGATTATAACTGTTTGTTACTGCCTTGCTCAATGACATTTGAAAGGACTGAACACAGTTAGAAAGCTGTCACCAAAGTTGGATGTATTACTCCAAGTAAGCTTGACATTTCAGAGCTTTAACAACCAGTAACCACAAGTGTACACACACCATACACCCACCCACACACACACACACACACCATGCTGGAGTGCAGCCAACATTAACAACTCCAAACCACAGGAGCTAAGTGAATCAACAAATAGAAGAACAAAACCTCAAGAGGAACACAAACATAGCAGACACTGAGTACAAACAAGCACCCGCACACACCTCAATGTACAAGAGTAGGCTTTTTTTTTTTGGTTTTGCTTTTTTTTTTTATTAAGTTGTGGGTAAACATCCTCCTCTACTCTTCATGGTTGTTGTTGTTGCTGTCTCAGAGCGGGGCAAAGATACACTGCCCCCCACCGGACAGGCCAGCTCGTGTCATGTGCAGCAAATGCAGCCCAAACTGTCCGAGAAGAACCACAACAGCAGAGTGAAGGCTTATCAGACATTGTGCACTCTTGACCATATTACTGGAACAACACTGACATGTCACACAACAAAGGAAGGCTTCTGGGAAATGACTTGGTGAGCCATTTTTGGAGGTGCACAGTCATCAGAAATAAGTGCATCATCAGGTCTAACTGTGCCGCCTTTATGAGAACATGAAGTAGATGTAAGTCAGCTAGACT